AGGATCGAGCATTGACTCTTGGATCCCTGTGTGTGTGTGTGTGTGTGTGTGTGTGTGTGTGTGTGTGTGTGTGTGTGTGTGTGTGTGTGTGTGTGTGTGAGTGTTTATTTGTTTTTTTATGTTCCTATATATGGACGCGCGTTTGTGTATGGGCTGGATTTGACAATCAAATTAACATGAAGGTAATTAAGGTGTAATTAACTCCTTCAACAGGTGAGGTACCGAGTGCGTAAGGCAGAGAGAGGCAGTAAGTACAAAACTGAGTCCTAGTCTCTTAATAATCCCCGCTCCTGTGACAGGTAAGTCCACAACGGGCTCACCATAGCCCGTGCTACTTGGAAGTTTTGTTCCAAGTAGCAAATTTTAAACAACAACAACAACTCTTTGTAATTGTGCACAACATATTCTAACCACAGCATCGGGCCTATACCAGCTGGACAATTTTAAAATTGGGAAGATTTACGAGAAAAAGTGCAATTGTTTACGTGATAATAGTGTCAAGTGTTCGAATTATGTCACCTGTGTGGGACTTGAAAACCCCCTCGTTAACAAAGACCAAATGCTCGTTTACCCCTCCCCCCCCCCTCCTCAGATTATGAATAAAAACGGTGTACACACGACTCACAACTGTCGAAGTTCGAACACTTCTCGAAGAAGCGCTTCGCTAACGATTTGTGTTCGAACCACAACGCTGTAAATGCTTCACCCACGTACTACAAATACACATAATCGCAAAAGTGAGACTGACTGACGGTAAACACACCATATTATGGGGACGATGAACGCATTAGGGGGCCGGTCGGCCGAGCGGACAGCACGCGGGACTTGTGATCCTGTGGTCCTGGGTTCGATCCCAGGCGCCGGCGAGAAACAATGGGCAGAGTTTCTTTCACCCTATGCCCCTGTTACCTAGCAGTAAATTAGGTACCTGGGTGTTAGTCAGCTGTCACGGGCTGCTTCCTGGGGGGTGGAGGCCTGGTCGAGGACCGGGCCGCGGGGACACTAAAGCCCCGAAATCATCTCAAGATAACCTCAAGATAACCTATATGCCACGTCAGCGTGTGGGCCGGATATATCAGGGTGTGGGGTGGATATATCAGGGTGTGGGGTGGATATATCAGGGTGTGGGGTGGATATATCAGGGTGTGGGGCGGATATATCAGGGTGTGGGGTGGATATATCAGGGTGTGGGGCGGATATATCAGGGTGTGGGGTGGATATATCAGGGTGTGGGGCGGATATATCAGGGTGTGGGGCGGATATATCAGGGTGTGGGGTGGATATATCAGGGTGTGGGGTGGATATATCAGGGTGTGGGGCGGATATATCAAAGTGTGGGGTGGATATATCAGGGTGTGGGGCGGATATATCAGGATATAGAGACTTTATCAAGGTGTGTTGGAATATATCATGGTGAGGCGGAATATATTGCGGTGTGTGAGGAAATATATCAGGATGTGGGGATAATATACTTGGGGTGTATAGTATGGTATAAGGGAAGCATTCTAGGATATGGGGAAACTGGCAGTGTTTCCCACAAGCTAACTCTTAAAATAAGAAATCAATAATCTAGCCCCCTAATATAACCCAACCTAATGCAGCGATGAGTCACAATAACGTGGCTAAAGTAAGTTGACCAGACCACACACTAGAAGGGACGACGACGTTTCGGTCCGTCCTGGACCATTCTCAAGTCGATTGTACAAATCTCTCAAATCTCATTCTCAAATCGCCAATCGCCTTGAGAATGATCCAAGACGGACCGAAACGTCGTCGTCCCTTCACCTTCTAGTGTGTGGTCTGGTCAACCCAACTTAACCTCAACATAATTCAACCTGGGACCTAAATAAGTCAACCAAGGCCTAGCATAACCCAACTTATGGGCTAACAGTCTAGTAAAATGAAAAAATTGGTCGAGGGAAACTATTGGAGACTATATTATAGGGAGAAACTATATTATGAAACTATATTATAGGGAGCCGGTCGGCCGAGTGGACAGCACGCTGGACTTATGATCCTGTGGTCCCGGGTTCAATCCCGGGCGCCGGCGAGAAACAATGGGCAGAGTTTCTTTCACCCTATGCCCCTGTTACCTAGGAGTAAAATAGGTACCTGGGTGTTAGTCAGCTGTCACGTGTTGCTTCCTGGGGGTGGAGGCCTGGTCGAGGACCGGGCCGCGGGGACACTAAAGCCCCGAAATCATCTCAAGATATTGGAGGTCACCAGTCTGCTATCGACCCCGCGGATAATATTCCAGTCTGACGAATTCCTTCGACAAATACGTTTGTCAAGGCTACGTTAAACACTAAACCAATCTTCTGATTGGTTCTCGTAACACAGTTCTCGGAGCTTCAAGCGTGACGTCAGAGATTTAGAATCTTATGATTGGCTGAATGTGTATCTGATCACTGCCAATGGGCGATCAGGTTTACCATGGCGTGACGTCAGCTCCATCAAATTGGATTTCAAAGATAGATGCGCCCTTACAGCCTGCCAATAGAGATTGGATGATTGGCGGACAAGCTATCCACTCTGGAGAGCACTATAGCGGGGTTCTTCCAGGAATAAGTATGGAATTGTTCCAAATTCTTGTCCACCCGCCTTAACACACGGGGCCCACTCTCTCTCTCTCTCTCTCTCTCTCTCTCTCTCTCTCTCTCTCTCTCTCTCTCTCTCTCTCTCTCTCTCTCACACACACACACACACACTCTCTCTCTCTCTCACACACACACACACACACACACACACACACACACACACACACACACACACACACTCTCTCTCTCGCTCTCTCACACACACACACACTCTCTCTCTCGCTCACACACACACACACTCTCTCTCTCTCTCTCTCTCTCTCTCTCTCAATTTATCAACTGGTGAATTTTTACAAAGAATTTTGTAATTGTTAACGTTGTTAAGGAATTTCAGCACAGCTCAAAGAAATGCGCTGGCGAGGCCTCTCGCGCGGTGGGCTGTGTTAATTACTCCACCAAACAAACGTTTAGGAGTCTATGTTGCGAGTGTGGACCAGGGCAGGCTCTGGAACAGTGAGAGTGACGGTGGTGGTGGTAGACCAGTCTCGGCTCCACCTGACACACACTGACTGCTCACGGTAAACTCAATTCGGTAAACTCACTGCTCACTTTGCACTAAACAACAGTATCAATAGGTAGTTAGCACATGGGAGCGCTCACGTAGGACAGTATACCGAGGTATACATTTCATAGGGATACATATATCAATGTTTATATGAATCGACTTGAGAATGGTCCAGGACGGACCGAAACGTCGTCGTCCCTTCACCTTCTAGTGTGTGGTCTTGTCAACATAAATGTTTCCAACCCTGGCTTAATTACAGAATTATAATTAATTAATTAATTTGATTGTCAACTCGTTAATTTTCAACTCATCACTCCAGCCAAACAGCAAACATCTTCACTTAAAGGAACAAACTTGTATCACACTTTATCACACGCCGGAAGTAAAAGCTTTAATATTATAATTATACTAAACAAAGTGAGTAGAAAATTCTACGCACAAGTTGATCACAAGTTTTATATTAAAAACACAGAAAGTCAGAAATATTTTCACCTCAGAAACTCTTTCTCTCGGACTTTCTGTATTACAAGACAGATTATAATAGGTCTACATGTGGGCGACATATAGCATAATATATATGTAGGCCTACACGTGCCTGTATATATAGCATAATATATATGTAGGTCTACACGTGCATGCGGTGTATAACAATAGGCCTACACGTGAACGAGACGTAATTCCCACGCTATAAGAGGCCACGAGACAAATCCGGACACAACGGCTGGGCAACTGGGGGCGGTGGTCAGAACAGGACAGTTACCCATCACACCAACATTCTCTGTGATGAAGGAACCCGCGCATGCGTAGGACTCCCCGAACGTGACACCGCCAGTCACCCGGCAGCCGTGGTGGGGGGGAGACGCTCGGGTTCTGTTCCTATAAATACACAAACTCGTTATTGGTACATTCTACACCTTATTATGATTTAGATCCTCTATATTGGTGTCATTATTATCATTATTACTGTTGTATTGCGGTGTTAGTACAGGAGTGGGCGGGATCCGAACGGGTGTGAGTGGGCGGGGTCAGTAGAGAACAGAGTGGGATGGGTCAGTACGGGTGGGGGGTGGGGGGGAGAGTGGGTGTGTGGGGGGGGGGTGGCGGGGGGGGGGGGGGGGGTGGTGAAGTCTGGACCGGAGCCAGTTGTGTTGGGTGAGTCATCTCGCCCCAGTGCACGCACACAATATTGGTGTACACATGTGTACACGGCCACACCAGGCTGTGGGGGCCAGATGTGGGTCATGGGGGGCCAGATGTGGGTCATGGGGGCCAAATGTGGGTCATGGGGGCCAGATGTGGGTCATGGGGGGCCAGATGGGGGTCATGGGGGGCCAGATGTGGGTCATGGGGGGCCAGATGTGGGTCATGGGGCCAGATGTGGGTCATGGGGGACCAGATGTGGGTCATGGGGGCCAGATGTGGGTCATGGGGGGCCAGATGTGGGTCATGGGGGGCCAGATGTGGGTCATGGGGGCCAGATGTGGGTCATGGGGCCAGATGTGGGTCATGGGGGGCCAGATGTGGGTCATGGGGGCCAAATGTGGGTCATGGGGGCCAGATGTGGGTCATGGGGGGCCAGATGTGGGTCATGGGGGGCCAGATGTGGGTCATGGGGGGCCAGATGTTGGTCATGGGGGGCCAGATGTGGGTCATGGGGGGCCAGATGTGGGTCATGGGGGCCAGATGTGGGTCATGGGGGGCCAGATGTGGGTCATTGGGGGCCAGATGTGGGTCATGGGGGGCCAGATGTGGGTCATGTGGGACCAGATGTGGGTCATGGGGGGCCAGATGTGGGTCATGGGGGGCCAGATGTGGGTCATGGGGGGCCAGATGTGGGTCATGAGGGCAAGATGTGGGTCATGGGGGGCCAGATGTGGGTCATGGAGGGCCAGATGTGGGTCATGGGGGCCAGATGTGGGTCATGGAGGGCCAGATGTGGGTCATGGGGGGCCAGATGTGGGTCATGAGGGCAAGATGTGGGTCATGGGGGCCAGATGTGGGTCATGGGGGGCCAGATGTGGGTCATGGGGAGCCAGATGTGGGTCATGGAGGGCCAGATGTGGGTCATGGGGGGCCAGATGTGGGTCATGGGGGGCCAGATGTGGGTCATGGGGGCCCAGATGTGGATCCTAGGGGCCAGATGTGGGTCATAAGGGCCAGACGTGGGTCATGGGGGCCAGATGTGGGTCATGGGGGGCCAGATGTGGGTCATGGGGGGCCAGATGTGGGTCAATGGGGGCCAGATGTGGGTCATGGGGGCCAGATGTGGGTCATGGGGGGCCAGATGTGGGTCATGGGGGCCAGATGTGGGTCATGGGGGCCCAGATGTGGATCCTAGGGGCCAGATGTGGGTCATAAGGGCCAGATGTGGGTCATGGGGGTCAGATGTGGGTCATGGGGGCCAGATGTGGGTCATGGGGGCCAGATGTGGGTCAATGGGGGCCAGATGTGGGTCATGGGGGCCAGATGTGGGTCATGGGGGGCCAGATGTGGGTCATGGGGGCCAGATGTGGGTCATGGGGGCCCAGATGTGGATCCTAGGGGCCAGATGTGGGTCATAAGGGCCAGATGTGGGTCATGGGGGGCCAGATGTGGGTCATGGGGGCCAGATGTGGGTCATGGGGGGCCAGATGTGGGTCATGGGGGCCAGATCAAACTCGGGTGCATTATGGGGATGCAATACGCCCTCCTAATAGAACGTCACATTTTTTACGTATACTCTACCTAAGGACCTTACCTAAAAGAAAAAAATATCATATTTGAAAATGGTAGCGGGTCGCGAAATTGATATACTATCCCATTTTGTGTTTTGGGTCCTCTGATAAGTTAGGATAGGAGCACTTTAGTAGGACAGTTTCTGGACGTTGGTAGGACGCTGGAGGTAATTTTGATTGACGTAAAATCAAAACCCATGATTTTATTTAAGACTTCATGAAAATTGTGTGTGTGGGGGGTTATGTTAGAGGCCGATATTTCTTAAAATGTGGCACTGGAGCTTATGTCCATCGGCCTATGTCCATCCCATACCGCAGACCACTGACCGTGTAAAGTTGGGTGCGTATACTCTCAAGCATCTAGCTTCCAACCTTGGACGGGCAAACAAACATTCTTTCCCTTTCTTACTATTCCCTTTCATAACCTCACGTTAGTTGGGATACAATTGCAGCCGCCATTTGTCAAGTTGTCGAGTTTGTCGAGGTCTTCCACGATTTTCTTGCAGTCCTTCGATGTTTTTCATTCTCGTCAGCTCTATGCCATCGGCGAAGGCGCTCACTTCCTCAGGTAGGTCTATTAGGAGCTGCAATGGTGCCAAGACTGAGCCCCACTACCACAGCTGCCACTCGCTCCCACTACCACAGCTGCCACTCGCTCCCACTACCACAGCTGCCACTCGCTGCCACTGCCACAGCTGTCACTCGCTGCTACTACCACAGCTGTCACTCGCTGCCACTACCACAGCTGTCACTCGCTGCTACTACCACAGCTGTCACTCGCTGCCACTACCACAGCTGCCACTCACTCCCACTACCACAGCTGCCACTCACTCCCACTGCCACAGCTGCCACTCACTCCCACTACCACAGCTGCCACTCACTCCCACTACCACAGCTGCTACTCACTCCCACTACCACAGCTGCCACTCACTCCCACTACCACAGCTGCCACTCGCTCCCACTACCACAGCTGCCACTCACTCCCACTGCCACAGCTGCCACCACTCACTCCCACTGTCACAGCTGTCACTCACTCCCACTACCACAGCTGCCACTCACTCCCACTGCCACAGCTGCCACTCACTCCCACTACCACAGCTGCCACTCGCTCCCACTACCACAGCTGCCACTCGCTGCCCACTACCACAGCTGCCACTCGCTCCCACTGCCACAGCTGTCACTCGCTCCCACTGCCACAGCTGCCACTCGCTCTCACTGCCACAGCTGTTACTCACTCCCACTGCCACAGCTGTGACTCACTCCCACTACCACAGCTGCCATTCGCTCCCACTACCACAGCTGTCACTACCACACAGCTGCCACTCGCTGCCACTGCCACAGCTGCCACTCGCTGCCACTACCACAGCTGCCACCACTGCCACTACCACAGCTGCCACTCGCTACCACAGCTGCCACTACCACAGCTCCTGCACTGCCACAGCTGTCACTCACTGCTACTAGCATAGCAGACACTCGCTCCCGCTACTATAGCTGACACTCGCTCCCACTGCCACAGCTGTCACTACCACAGCTGACACTCGCTGCCACTGCCACAGTTGCCACTCGCTGCCACTACCACAGCTGCCACTCGCTGCCACTACCACAGCTGCCACCACTACCACAGCTACCACCACCACCACCACTACCACCACCACCACAGCTACCACCACTACAAGCATTATTC